TTACTATTTTTTATTTTTAAAGTTATTATATATATATATATATACACACACACCTAACCTATATATGAATATAGATAGATAAGAAAGAAATTTTTTTTTTAAAAATTAGTCAAACTTTTAACCTATATGTAAATATAAATAGATATGAGAGAGAAAAGATTTTAATGTTAGTCAAACTCCTAAAATTTATGAGTTTTTAATTTTTAATTATATTTCACTTCTAAAAGGAAGGGATAATATGGTAAAATTGACAAAAAACGGACTTCATAACAAATAAGTTTCCTTAACGAACTTAAGTCCAAACAAGTTCATATAGGAGAACCGGCTTCCAAATTTTCCTTTTTTTAAAAGAAAAAATGTCAAATGTGACAAAAAAAAAGAAAGAAAGAATATTTGAAAACAATAGGCTTGTTGGGCTCGTTTTGTTACAATGTAATCTTGTCATTAGCTTACATTGCTCCTCAAAATTATCTCATCAACATTGATGAGATGAGTAATGGAATCTAACAGTAGAACCACGCTACAACATTTTTAATATATTTTTTCAAGGTAAAACAAACTTTTTTATTGATATTTTAGAGTTGTACACATGAAAAGTGTATAAAACACTTGTAAATGACTCAGAAGTAGGGGTGCAACTTGGACGGGCTAATTCGAATTCAATCTAAGCCAAATCTGAAAAAAAACAGGGTTTGAGTTAGAATTTTTAATACTTAGGTTGGGTCTGGGCAAAAAAACTCTAACTCAAATTGAATTTGGGTAAGCCTCGGGTTGTCGGGTTCAACCCGAATATTAAAATAAGGTTGAACCCGATCATTAAATCGGATTAAATCCAAATATACATAAATATATAAATGTATTTAATTAGGTTTAGTATTTATCTTCACTCTTTAGAGTCAAGATTTTCATTTCATTTCAAGTCTTCGCCCCTACTCCTCCATCATTCTCAGATCCTTCTCTCACTCGTCACTCCTCCCTCTCTCAATCATCACTCGTCTGAGTCGTCTCAGACTCTCAACCTCCCTCTCTCACTCGTCACTCATCCTTCTCTCACTCTCTCTCTCTCTCTTCATCTGCCCATCGCCTTTCATCTTAGATCACTTGAAAAAAATCAGATCTATACTTGAAAAAATTAAATCTATACTTCAAAAAATCAATCAGAATTAAGTAACCCAAGCATAACCCGATTTTTAACCCGAAATCAGCCCAAATTAAGTAACCCGAATTCAACCCGAGCCCGCCCAAATTAAACTCGAGTAGTACTCGGGTTGAGTTTCTCAAGTTAAGGTAGGGTTAGGATTAAAGTTAAAAATTATATACTTAGGGTTAAGTTAAGGTTGACATTTCAACTCGCCCAACCCGTCTGAATTGTACCCCTACTCAGAAGGAGGCTCCACATTCTACGGGAAGTATAGGCCTTGAGCTAGTACTTTCCACCAGAATGCAATGCCCATATTGTTAGGTAATAAAGAACAAAAAGTTTAGGAAAACTATAGGATGCAGGACTCTGGAAGACCCCATCTTTCAGCCAACATGTTGTTTTGCTGAGTCCACATGAACCTCATGGAGATCATCCTTTCTCTAATAGAATGGCTAATAAGTGTAACTAGAGTATTGGGATCCCTGGCTTGGCTTTTGAAAATTCTAGCATTTCTCTCCTGACATAGGTAATACACTATGACTGAGAGACTAAGCTTGAGGGCAGTATTAATTTAATATATCTTTCCCTCTCCATCTCTGAGATGCCCACTGGATGATCTCACTCCATTGCCTCTGCTGCCATTGAATTCCACTAAAAAGCAAAGTAGTTGTATAGACCTTGCAGGTGTATTCACATTCAAAAAAAAAATGGTTATGGGACTCTACAGCCTGCATGCATAGGTTGCATTCATCTCCAAACTGGTTTGTGAATGTCATAATTCTGACATTCTGTCCTTAGTGCTAAGGTTAGAGTTGACTGCAAGCCAAAGGATAAAAGCCATTCTAGGAATATTTTGTCCAAACCAAATGATTATGAGACTCTGCACCCTCAACACTTTTATTATATTAAGAGTGCAATGTGATTAAAATTTAATTTTTGAGGGTATAAAACGAGAATTTTGATAAAAATGAATTAAATTTTGAGAATGTTCAACCTATAACCTTATAGATTATGCATAATTTAAGCAAATTGTTAAGTGCTTACGAAAACCTCCCCTTGTCTATGGATGTTTCCAACGACACATGAACACTGACACCCACCATACTTTCCAGCGAGAGGTTGGGTTGCCCTGAGAACCACTAGGGGCCATGCATCCGCAAGATTAATTACACACTTCTCAATTCAATGTCTCTAAATCTACAGTTCTCTTTTCTTTTCCTCCTCACTTTCTTACTCTTCATATTTACTATGGTTGTGAAACTCTTGAAGAGATCTAAAGCCCAAGGACTGAATCCAAAGGTACCACCAGGGCCATGGAAGCTGCCACTCATTGGCAATTTACACCAGTTGATTGGTTCATCACCACAACATGCTTTAAGAAACTTGGCCAAGAAATATGGACCCATCATGCAACTACAACTAGGTAAGATGTTTCCCCTATACTAGGTTTTTTTTTTTTGGGGTAAAATACACTTTTGGTCCTCCAAATATATATTTAGTGTCTATTTGATCCCCAAATTTTCAATTGTTTCTATTTTCTAAGGTTCTTAATTGGATTAATTGCACTGGAGGTCCTTAAAGTATAAGATTTATTTTATTTTGGTCTCTAATATTTTAATTGCATTAATTTGGTACCTGAAGTATTGAATATGTTTTAAGTAATCTCTCAAGTAGACAACATCCAAATTGCTAATAATTTTTTTATATCATAAACTTGTCACATAATACCTAAATATAGATAAAATATAATTTGAGTAATTCGTGACAAAAAATGTGTAATATGGATAACTTTTGATCAAAATTTAGATAACTCAAAATCAGAACTGTGTAATTTGAGTAACTCTTTAACTAAAATTTGGATAGAAATTTGATCAAGAGTTATTCAAATTATTTTTTTTCTCCAAATTTGGGTAGTGGGTGATGTGACAATGGATATGAATTGCCCATTAAAGCCCAAATCGTCCTCAATCTATGGCCAATGGGTAGAGATTAAGGATGTGAGTGGACCAGAGAAAAACGGGTATTCGTCCAAACCGCATCCCATTTAGACTGGGGATGAACTATACGTATTGAATGGTAGACGTATACGGGGATACTCGTATAAACCCGTACAGGGATGAAGGCGGGGATGAACTTACCCTTATCCCTCCCCGCCCTCGCTACCCGTTATATATATATATATATATATACTTCTAAGTCTTAACTAAACATATTTACTATAACTACCAATCTAGAAATATGATAATCAAACTAACAAGTGGCATTGTATTGTGATAATCTTATCAACTTTTTTCCCTGATTGTTCTTTTTTCTATTTGTGCTCATTAATTGAAACTGTTAGGAGTTTGGATTCACCATACTCTAAAAACATATAAGAGAGAATAAAATAGTTTTGCATTTCATTGTAGGTAGAAATATTGTGAATGGAGGTTAATGAGTTTCTCTGCTAGAGTGAACTAAGAAATGGAGATAATTATTAAATTAGCGAAATTTTAAATTTTCCTCTTTTAACACTTTGTGGTTGTAATATGAATTGTAATAACAAAAGTTTTTCTAGGAAACTTCAAGTGTAGTAATTTCTCTTCTTGTGGTCCAATGACACTTTAAATAGAATATTATATTGTTTTGGCTTTTACATTTTGCAATCTACATTATGTTGTGTTAGATTATGGTAAATTATTTAGAATATTGTTGGATTATTTGAAATATTAGATTTATTTAGAATTTTAGATTATGCTACTTGAGTTTGGGCTTAGGCGGGTACGGGAGAAGCGAGGGGACGGGGACGGGGATTAGAAATTTACCCGCGGACAAGGATGGGGATGAAAACTATACCCGTTAATAGAAGTAGACTGGAGATGGACGGAGTTTTTTTAAACGAGTACGGGGATGAAGACTACATTCCCTGCCCCCGCTTCGGTCCACTGACATCCCTGGTAGATATCATAACTACTAGATTGATGTGAATTGCTTTCAACCTGAGAGGTTCCTTGATTCTTTAATCACTTATATGGGGACCAACTTTGACTACCTCCCATTTGTGACTGGTAGGAGAATATGTCCTGGAATATCATATGGTACAGTAGTTATTGAACTTGCACTTGCTCAATTGCTCTATCACTTTGACTGGAAACTCCCAAATGGGTTGAAACCAGAAGAACTCGACATGACAGAAACCTTCGAAATTACTGGACAAAGAAAGGATGATCTGTACTTGACTGCCATTCTGGGTTAATCTTATGCTTGACGAGACAATTTTGTGAAACAAGATCATCCAATTGTGCCCCGAAAATTCTACCAACAAAAATGATCTTTAAAAAGAAAGCTTGGATGTAGAGATTGGAGATGATCCGTTGAATGATACTATGATTTATTGATTGCTTGTCAATGTTCAATCCATATGTGACTGAACAATAATAGAATAATGTAATTACCTTGACCTGTTGAACAATAGCTTGAGTGGAAGAATTCCCAAATGCTTTAGCAACATTAATGATTTCCTATTAGTGATGAATTTACGATGCAACAACTTTCATGGAACCATCGCTCAGTTATACAACAAAAAATGTAATTTAGAAGTGGTTGATTTAAGTCAGAATCAATTAGACGGGCCGGTGCCAAGATCTCTAGCCCACTTCATGATGTTAGAGCTTCTCAATCTTAGAAATAGTCAGGCGGTCAAATTTTGATATTATGAAGTTACGTATCATTGACCTCTCACATAATGGTTTTATGGGCGAGTTGCTATCAAAGTACTTCCAAAATTGGAATGCCACAATGGTTCATGATGCTAACCAATCAATTTATTTTCTGGCAGACCATTTACCCGGTGTCTGATTATCAGTCTGCTGACACTTTTGCATTTTCAATGACAATCAGAAACAAGGTGTTGAAACTCTTTATACCAAGATCATAGCTGTCAGCCATTGATCTCTCAAGCAACAAATTCAATGGAGAGATTCCAAAGTCCATTGGAAAATTGAGAGGTCTTCAATTGCTTCAACCTGTCCAACAAAATAAGTTTTCTTTATATGTTCCTTGTGTGGGTTCGAGGTTGCATGTTTTGAGCTTCCCTAGAGAAATATAATCTCTCTATGAACATTATTGTTGTGTCAAAGCCATGACCTACATATTGTTCAGCACTAAATATTTCGAGGATTACCTTATATATTTCTTTTGCATTTAGGATTGAATCTGGGGTGGCTCCTTCAAATTCGAGGCCTAAAGTGATGCATATCAATAAGCCCTTTAATTTTTTGAAAATTATTTTAAAATTTTTATTAATTTGTTTTGTTGTTTGGGATCAAAATTTCTTATGATATTTTTGTATCAAGTTTTGCTAGCATATATTTTTCGATTGATGGCGTGACTAATTGGCCTAATTTTTCTTATGCATAATCGATTTTATATAGGTTTTTATTAATTTTGATTTTGAAAACCCTGGTTAATTCTTAAATGAGGCTTAAGTTTTTAAATTACAATATTATTAAACTTAAGGTTATCCACTAAGTTATGTTGTCTTGTCATTGAGATCCTATTAAATTATATTTTATACAAATTATCCAGTATTCTTAAATTATAAGTTGTGATGCTGCATAAATTGATTTTATGCACCACCTGTCAAGTAATTAACACAATAAATAAATAAGAAAAGAGTCAAAACAAGGAGAACCCAATTTAAGAGGTTCGGTCAATGTAACTTACTCTATTGTGAAGGGCTAGGATGACCTGAGTGTTTTATTGCTTCAAGAAGTATTGGGTGCTCAACTGTGAGTAATAAGCGAGATGCAAGATGTGAAAGATGCTCCCCATGTGTAGGCAGACTTACAATTTATAGGCGTCTCCTAATAGATTGAGGTACATTATCAGTAACAAAAAGACTGATTTGGTGGAATGAGCTTCATCCTCGTAACAGGTGAGGCAGTTGTTGAGAGGGGGTGGAGATCTCCTCTAGACTAGGTCCTAGAATGGCGTGACAGATCTCCTCAGTCTAAGATGGCGTAAATGAGGCTCTAGGATGACATCACTGACTCCTTCATTCCAGGATGACATGATAGTCAGGGCTTTGGTGAGCCTAACTTGATCTGGGTCTCTTTTGGGCCAAACCTACTAGGCTTCGTCTGGACTGGGGCCACTATTTGAGTTAGACCTTGTCTATGCTGAGCCCACTATCAGAGTTAGGCTTTGTCTGGGCTGACCCCACTATCCGAGTTGGACCTTGGTTGGGTCGGGCCCACTATCCGAGTTATATCTCGCCCATTACTCACATTTGAGGACCCAACACTCATTGAAGTAATAAAACACGTAGACCATCTTAGCACTTTACAGTGGAGTAGGTCACTTTGACCGAACTACTTAAATTATGTTTTGCTTGTGCTAACTCTTTCCTTATTTATTTACTGCATTAATTACTTGACAGATGGTGCATAAAATCAATTTTTACGTCATCAATTTTGGAGCTGGACGAGTTCGATGTACAATACCAACCAAGGGCAGCCATCAAGGCACAAGCCCTGGCGAACGTTGCCGAGCTCACACCGCAGAAAGGGGAGTGTTGTGTAGTTTTAGCATCTCCATAAGACATCTAGGAAGCCTCGCCAGAGGTCCATCCACCGCAAATGGATACCTTGGCGCACCAGGCAGACACCCAGGCGCACCAAACACACTGGCACCCTCCCAATCGCCCTGCCTAGGCACCCGGGGCATCCTGGTGCCCAAGGTAGACGTCCAAGTCACCTAGGCACGCTGTCTAGGCTCCTTGCCATCCTCCACGACCTCCACGGTCTCTAAGTTTCTCTCTTCAAGCATGCCCTCTCTGTCTCCTTGCCTCTGTTGCCTCCCTACACCGCTAAGTCATCTCCTTGAAAACTTCATGTGGAAGACTCTTCAACCAGCAAGGGAAGTGGACAATGGACCAGGGCAAGTTTGATGTATAATACCAGTCGAGGGTACCCATTAAGGCACAAGTCTTGACAGATTTGGTTGTCAAGCTCACACCGCCAAAAGGGGAGTGTTACGAACCTTCAGCATCTCCACAACACACCCAGGAAGCCTCACCAGAGGTCCAGCCACCACAAACAGATGCGCTGGAGTACCAGGAAGACACCCAGGTGCCCTAGCCACCTAGGCGAGTAGGACATACTAAAGCCTTTCTAGGCACCCGGGGCATCCTGGCACCCAGGGTAAATGCCCAGGCCACCCAGGCACCCTACCTGGGCACCTTGGCATCTTCCACGGCCTCCGAGTCTCTTTCTCCAAGGCCTCCTTGTCTGCTCGAGCTAGAATTCAAGCTTAGCTAATGCCCTCTACTCCAAATCTTATTGAACTTGGCGTATAAGGGGCAAATGATGGGCCCAGTCTAAGGCCCAACTCGGATAGTGGGCCCGACCCAAACAAAGCCCAGTGAGTCCAGCCAATAAGAAACCCAGATCAAGTCAGGCTCGCCAAAGCCCCGACAATCATGCCATCCTAGAGTGAAGAAGTCAGCAACACCATCCTAGAGCCTTATTCACGCCTTCCTAGAATGAGGAAGTCTACCACGCTATCTTGAGACTTGGTTTTGAGGAGATCTACATGCCCTCTCAACAATTGCCTCACCAGTTGCGAGGATAGCGTCCATTCCACCAAATTAGTTTTTCTGTTACTGATAAGACACGTCGATCTGTTAGGAGGCGTATATAAATTGTAAGCTCCGCCTACACATGGGGGACATCTCCCACATCTTGTATCTCGCCTATTACTCACACTTGAGCATCCAACACTCCTTCAAGTAATAAAACACTCAAACCATCCTAATCCTTCATAGTGGAGTAGGTCACCTTGACCGAACTAGTTAAATTGTGTTTTATTTGTATTAACTCTCTCCTTTTTTATTTATTGCATTAATTACTTGACAAGTGTTGCATAAAATCAATTTGTGCATCATTAAGTTTGAGCTCATCCTCTTCATCATAAATGATCCGCTTGCCCCGAAATGACCTGGACCAATAGGGAAATCCCAATTCATTGGGCCTTTCGATACAATCAAATAGAAAGCCCCAAGGGCGCCATATTCTAGGAGCCCAAACTATGTGATTGAATAAATCCTCCTCTATCTGGTGCGGGTCGAGGGCTCCTTCTCCTTCCCCTTCTTCAAACTCCGATTCGTATTTTTCATAGAGAAATCTCTGATCAAGGATAGAACAAGATCCATTTTGCATCATATCTAAGGGATTCCTTGGTTCGGGCCGAAGAAGCAATGTCACTCGATCATTATCAAACTGACTGCAATCTTTTTCTGTCCGTGAGGATCCCACCAGAGCGCCTTCTACTTCTAATAGGCCATGAACTAGATCAGAATCATTCTCAACAAGTCCATAAGAAGTGATCCCATTTTTTTCATCGGGTCCGGGTAGAGACCAAAGATCTTGAGCGACCGATCCGGCAGAACAACTCAAAAGATAAAGAAGTCTCGTTAATTTCTTCATGCTCG